GTTTCGTTTCTTTTTTCTCATCTTGTTATTGGTCGTCTCGCGCCACGTGAAAATCGTCTCGAACTCTCTAAGCCAAGTCGCTTTAAAGTGAAGACCACTCTTACCGCTTGGCATGAATCAAGAGTGACTTCTTCTTCCTCCTCTTCAAACGAGATGACACAAACAAAGAAAGAGAAATAAGATATCTACTATCAAACGAAACGCATTTTCTATTTCAACATTTCACAAATTATACGAATGATCTATTTTTCTTTTCTTTCTTATTAAAATGATACTAATTGTGTTATCATCTTTTTTCTTTTTTTTTATTCTTTTTAATTTATCTATCGCAATGATCCACGAATTCATTTGGAATTTGTCGATATATTTTATAAATAAATGATTTATATTTATAATATAATATAATATCGATACTTTAAACAAAAATAAACTCACCGAAAGAGTCAACTTTATCAATCTTATCTCAAAAAAAAAAAGGAAAATTGCAAACGAAACTAAAAAGAAGAAGAAGAAAAAAAAGCCCAAGTTTAAAAGAACGACTACGAGAAGAAAATTTGAATAATTTAAACGAAACATTGAAAATTTCTCTTAGATATCTTCTCGAACCTATCTGCTGATCCTTTCGTTTTTCAGAAAGAGATTAGTCAGATTCCTCATTTCTAGATTGGTTTATTAAAGAGTCATCGCTCCGAATGTTTTCCCACCCGTGCAATTATCAACTAGTAGTAGTAGTAATAGTAGTAGTAGTAAAGTAGTGATCGTATTTTTCGTCCTACACGCGATAGGATTTCCCCGTTGGATTTCTCAACTTTTACCCTCGTGCGAAGCACCGACGTTTCGTTCTACGTAAGGAGCCCCACTTTTCACCACAGATTCTCACGATATCGTGCTCGGAAAGTAGCGAAAACGTGCTCGAGGATTTCTTCTCCCCCTTTTACGTTTCATCTCCCTGGTTGGTTGGTTGGTTGCTTACTTTGTTGCTTGGTATATACACTTGAGAGAATCGCACTGTGTTGCTGGTCGGTTCGCTTTTGCATGGTTCGCCATGCACAGAGGATAAAACTGTCATCTCGAAAGTTGGCCTACTATCTCCTCGAACGCGATAATAGCACCACAGTCACGATCTCTCTCTCTCTTTCTTTATTTATTTATTTATTTATTTGTTTCTTTCTTTCTCTTTCTACTTTCCACCCTCACCTTCTTCTTCTTCTTCTTTCTCATCTCGATCGGATTTCTTATCGGCTCGTTTTAATCGTTTCACCGAGTAACCCTAAAAAGCAACATTTTTAGCTAACTCATGTACAAGATAAATAGATTGATTGATTGATTGATTGATTGATTAGATCATTTTCTTCTTACCTCAAGAATAATCCATTGAAACTATATTAACCATATTATAAATTTAAGGATAAGATTAAATCATCGATAGAAATCATTTCTATTATCATTTATTATTAATAAAAGTGTTTTAAGGAAATTGGATAAGTTGAACATTTTTTTAGAACGTTTATTTTGATCTTATTGAAGACCTTCCCTTCATCGGGACTTCTTCAGCAACTGAAAAAATAGCACATTTACAACGAAATTTTAAAGTTTAATTATCATCAATAGGATACTGTAAGATTTTTCTTCGGCATATGGTAAAGAGCCAAGGATCAATTTATTTACTAGCGTGCAGCATCCACTTGGTAAACCAGAGACTAGACAACTTGCATGCGGTATTACGAGGACCAATCAGAATTCGAGCCCTGCTGACGCAGAACTTGTTTATACACCGTGACTAAATATTTCAACAACGAGATTTACGTACAATTTTGATTCTAATTTCGATCGTTTTATTTTCAACAATCATCGAAATTAGAAAATTTCGTTTGAAATAAATCTCATCAAACGTGTTCATCTTATTTTTCGTCTGTTTATTTATATTATATTTTTAAATGAAATGACTCGAAACTTTTCAACCAACCAACCAACCAACCCCATGTCAATTTTATTTTCTTACCAAAGACAACAAGAAAAATTCAATTACGAATGGGTCAACATATTAATTATTATTACGACTAGAATCATATTTATGATCTTTCCTCCACCCACTAGAAATAATATGTCAACGTAAATATGAAATATCATATCACTCGTTCACAAAATAGATACTCAAGTTACTAAAGTACATTTAGGAAAAGACATCTTGAAAACAGAGGGAAAATCAATAATACCCCATGGGTTTACGCATTGCGTCTACCATAGACGCAGTATCTCGTAACGTTCCATGCACTATCCCTCATATACTTATAGAATTAACTAATAAATATTCCAATATAAACAAATTCAAATCACTTCATTCGTATAATCATTTGATTTGATTTATTTACTCATTATACTTGATTAAGTTTAATCAATAGATTATAGAAACGAATTAATTTGCGTTTAAATATTGTTCATGAAATTCTGAAATTCTCTTGGCTAGTTTTAATTTCATTTTTAACAATCAAATTTTAATCGTGATTTATCGAATGATTTATATAATAAATCAACTTCAGTAATTTATTCTTTCACCTTGTTGCATCGTTTGTATTTTCTTTCTCTCTCTCTCTCTCTCTCTCTCTCGTTGTTTCTTTTTCTTTTTCATTGCAATTGTGTAGAAGATCAGATGCAAATGCGTGCAGTTCGTGGCACGCTACACCTGCCGTGTATTCTGGACGAGCATTACTGTGTGCCTCTTCGTACGACCTTGACACGCTTGACTGAGAAGTACAGAAGTCTCCGACCGTTGGGTACCAAATCGTAACTTGGCACACACCCGAGAGTATAGTAATAGAAAGCATAACTAATTCTAAGTCAACTAAATAACCAACCTATTTTTTTATCGATGAAAATTACCTATTGATTTTTTTACTCCTCTTTTGAAACAAATTATTTAGAAATAATAATTATACAGAGAGAGGAACCAATCAATTCTTGAAATAATAATAAGAAAAGTAATAAAACGTAACGAGGATTTCAATAATTTGTCGATCTCGTAATTAAGCAATCCATAAAATAATATATTGTTTACTTTATAAAATTATTAAAATTATGAAGCAATTAAAAACGTATTTGAAAATAATCAAAAAAGAGAAATATATTCGTTGTAACACTGACATTTGCATTTTATGCTTCTAATACAAAAGCAACAGTAATTGGAAACAAAACAGAAAACAATATAATATATTAATTACGTTACACGCTATTAACTAAGTCATAAAAAAGAAGAAAAAGAAATGAGTTAATAAAAAATGAAAATCTTCCAAGCTAAGATCATTAAAGGGTTAATAGAATTCCGCATAACATGGCCCAATTAAATCTGTTTACCATTCGTAACAGTGGTTAAACTTTCACGATGTAAATTTATTGTAATGTGCCGCAACTCCTCTCTCGCGTCTAATGAATCAGAAATATTCTTCGCGTCTCATTAAATGCGTTCTCAGAATCATTCGAAAGATTAGCGAAAAGATATCTCAATCAGAGATACGATCGGATATATCGAAGAATAAACCAATAGTTTCTTTTCTTTACTTGGGAGTCAATTTATGCGCGTAGCGTATCTGGGACGAGTGACCTGATTAGAGCACATTATCATTGATGCACTCTTCTACTTCTACTTCTTCTTATTCTTTTTCTTTATCTTTTTCTTCTTCTTTTTCAACGAACACTTGTGAACTTCAGCAGCACGGAAGTTACACTCTTTCAAAGTTCTTACCAACGAATTGTTTGAACATGTAAATTCAATTCCCCTCGAAAATCCATCGAGAAAAAGTTTGACCTATGCAAAAATCCTGGATGATCTGGACTTGGTTTGGCTTGGCATGGGCTGGTGGGTACGCGTTTAGGGTTATCAATCGATCCTTTTGACCCCAGCCAAAGAAGGAAGGCCACCGCATTGGCGAAACACTTGCACAAGTCTCTCTCTCTCTCTATCTCTCTGTCATACCACCCGTTCTTTCGAAAAGGGTGTCAATTTCTAATTATTTTTATCATTTCGGCAAATTAACAATCACGATTAATCATGAAAATCATTCGAATAAATCACACGTAGAGGCGTGAGATCTCGTTCGTTTAATTATATATACACACACACACACAAATCTCATATGCAAGTTTTTCTTCCAACTGCATCATACGGAAATCGATAAATCAACGTACGAAGAACAAACGAGATTAATCCACGTTCGGAATGCTACTCGTGATTGCCATTTAGTATCTCGATGTAACATGAAATTCGATAAACTTCCATTCCCATTCGATAAACTTCTCTTTCTCTCTCTCTCTCTCCCTGTTCAACCGTTTCTTCCTCCTACACATATCTATCGGCCATTTTTCACGAAATCAATCGCATTAAAGGTCTCGTAATTGCTTCCCCGATGGAAACTGTATTTACGACTTAACCGATCCTAATAACATTGAACCTTTAACGTCGATTATAAATTATCTTGAAAGATTTTTGTTCTGTCGATCTTAGAATCATTGATGGGGGAGTAGGGGGAGAGGGTAAAGCAAAAGAATTAAGTCTTTGAGTGGCCGTCGTGTAACGAATCGACGTCCATTATCTTCAGTATGGCAAGTTAAAAGGATAACTTGGTAGTAACATCATATATCTATCTATCTATCTATATATATAAATAACTATTTTCTCGGTTAGGTTTTAATACATACAAGGGGCTTCCTCTTGAGCACCCTCGAGTCAACAAAAAGAAGAAGAGAAAAAAAAAGAAACGAAAAGTAAGGAAAGAAAGAAAACATATAACTTGTTAATCTAGAAATTCATTAATCCTACACGAAGATGATTAATTCTGATAATAATTCTCGATACGGAAGATGGTAATAGGGAATTGTCAGGTGTTTACACGATCATCAAGGGTACACGCGGGTAGGTGTAATGTAAAGTTGTAGATAGAGACAGGGTTCTTGAATGTGTAGGGCAAGTAAAATCGGTTGTTTGCGATGATGGTGGTGGGTGGTAGTGGTGGTGGTGGTGGTGGTAGATTTAGATTGAAGAAGAGGGTGGTTGGCATGAGTGCGGGTGCGCAACTGCATGCGCCGCTGCAGCAACGCAATAGTACCGGCGCCCACCGTTCTTCTACGCCTCGGCGCCACAGTCTCTCTCTCCGCATGTCCGGAGCCGGCTGAATCCGACGTTCCTTATTATCGTCGTAGGTCCACCTATCGTCTACGTTACTCGTGCAAAATGGTAAGTCGATAGACTCATCATTCATCCAAGTGAATAAGAACCAAGAACAAAAATTACCAACTTCTTCTGTCCTTTTTCTTTTTCTTTTTTCATTCAATTACTTTTCCAAAGACAATCGTGTTTCTTTAAGTTATTCTATGTTCCAAGAACACCGGCCACAATGTTATGTTATGTATATGGTCAACTGAGGTTTAATCAGTTTATTATTGCGAGACTTTTTGTTGTTTGATAACGCGCGTGTTACGAGTGGGATCAGAAAACTCAAGGGATCATTTTTTGTTAACTTCTTCTACTTCTTCTTCATTTTAACTAATATCTTATTTCTTTTTGTATCCTTATCCTCTTCTTCTTCTACCTTTCTTTTACTTTTCCTTTGTAAGACTTTGATATTAGTCGGATATATTACATTCGCGATACTTGCCGCGAATTTTCTTCGAAAAGAAATAAGCGCCTTATTTTTCTTCTTCTTTTTCTTCTTCTTCGTGGATACGCAGATGATATCTGGGTCAAGGAGATAATAGCGTGTGTGTTAAAAGGACGATAGTTTTATCTTTAATCCGTCCCAAACAAACTCTCAAAAAGCAACGTGTGCTCTCTTCCGTTTGACACTTCACGCGTTGCGTTGTTAACGACCGGAAGAGTTTAGTAGAGAGGAAAACTCTCTGTCTGGTGCTGTCTCTCTGTATGTGACGTGTGTTCAACTTCGAAGAGGCTCATTATTTTACCACGAGGTAGCACCACCGTACGGCTCCCTGATCACTCCTTGAAATGATCTTTTCTTTTTCTTTATCTCGTAAATTATTTTGTCAAATGAATTTATGTTTTATTTCGAAAAATCCTTTTCCTAAATCATACCGTTCCGATAAAAAGTAATCTTTTAAAAGGCACGTTTCTTGCATGGCTTACAATTTTACACATTCAACTTTCCTACTTTTTTATCTAACAATTTGAAACGTAAACTAGGGTTGCATAATTTTGAAAATTTTTCATTTCAAATGTTTGCCTTTGTAAAGAATCTAAGTAACGCGAAATAACGTTAGTCATGATGATTCAAGTATCGATCTGTTTTCCCTAACTATAGTATTCTAACTCGATTAGGAGAACGAAGTAACATAGAAATATATGCACACATGTATGCATAGTGCAAACGCTATTCAACGTTTCGTGACAATTTGCAATGATGAACTTCATCTTTATATGTCATTTTTATTCGAAAGATTATCGCGTTATAGTTTATTCGCGTGTAATAGCGAACGAGCGAGTAACTGCGCAAATTCTTGTCGATTTCAAATGAAATAATAATTAACTTTCCAACGCTAACTCGCTTAAATCCTGCAAAGTTTCAAATCCCTTGTAAGACTTTTTTTAAAGAAAAAAAAGAAGAAAAAAAAAAAAACAAGTAGATAAACTACATATAATCAAAAAAAGTATATAACTTGGTACTATTTGAAAAATGCGACAATGCGTTCGTATCCGCGCTGACTCATGCCCTTGCCCTTCCACCAAAAACGAAAGCGAATCTATACTGAGGGTCGCATTCTTTTCTGCAGAGTCCTGCGCACCAAGGCAAACACACCCACCAAATTAAATGCAATTTATTTATTTTCCCGCAAACAAATACGACAATATTGAAATCAATTTAAAAATTATTACGAAAACGCGTTAATATATTTATATCATTTTTACGAGCTAACAAAAATATATATATATATATATATATATATATATATATATATATACATAAATATAAAATAATAAAACATATGTTTTATCTATGTTTATATAAAATTGATATTGCGAAAGGATGTTTAAAAAAAAATAAGAAAATTCCACAGGTGCTTGCGGATGCAACGCTGACGGATAACCATCACCGTCAGCGAGGATTCGCAACAAATGGCAACAACCCGGAAGGCATCACGATATGCAATCTGATAGACGGAGAAACTCTGACCTACAGTTTGGCCCTTATACGTGGCCGAGCACCCTTAGCGTGCAACTATATTACCGTACGAGCTCAAAAGAATGTGATATCAGAATGGCCAGTCATTGGTGGGGAATTTCGCGTGTTAGTTGATCTCCCACGTGGATCAAACAAATTGGAACTTGAAGCAGGAGGACACAAAAAACGATTGACACTATTACATGAGCCAAGAACGACTAGGCTACGAGTGACGCCGGTATACGTGGTATGCGCGGGCCACGATGGTTATTTTCAAGGTCCACGAAGGGAGGATAGATCACCGGAAAGCGCGGCAACCAGAATAGGTTTGGGTGCTAGATTACTACAGACACTAACGGCTGAGAAATTGCGAGAAGCTGGACACGGAAGAAAGACATTTCAATTGGAACGTGATTTGGATGGTCCGGAATGCTTGGTGATGCACAGTATGCTTCACGTGGACAGAGCACGAGCTATGTCGCAACGAGAATTATGGGAGCTGATAGCACGCGAACTGATGACCGGTCCATTAGCATCGAAGGACCGGAAATACCTAGCTTTCTTATCCTGCACGAGGTATCGCGGTGCACCGAGTCCCCGTACTCACGAAGATACTTTAGCGAGAACGCAAGGTCATGCTGCTTTGGGTGGTGGTGGTTTAGCACTTTTCGGTTCGGCTTGCTTGCATACGTGGCCTACTTGCATGGCCCAAGTATTACCCCGATTTCTAGACGCTACGGTCGTTGACACCGAACAATTGATGGATGACAGCAATTATCGTGGCACCCATGGTGGTTGTTTGGCGACTACCCTTGGATCTGTCTTACACGAGCTCGGCCACACGTTCGATCTCGGACACACTAGAGAAGGTATCATGGGACGTGGTTTCGATTACGTCGACAGGGTTTTCGTTGGTGCAGCTGGAATCGATTTTAATCGGAATCCGATCAGGAGAGATCCCCAACACACGACAGTTGCTCTTAGTAGACCTCTCAGCGTCACCGTCACTGTACAAGAACCGGTACTGGCCAGTCCCCGAAGAGGTAGACTTTTATCTGAAACCTCTAGGCCAACGCAAACGCAATCGACAAACGCAAGACAACTTCCTGGTAGGCTATCCGCTCCAGCTAGTCCTGAACTAAATAGATCCTTTTCGAAAACCTTGAACGCAACCGAACCACCCTCCCAACCGGACAGAACTTTTTGGGGACCCTCTTGTGCTGCATTGCTCGCTTATCATCGATGGTTTAACACCGAAGTTGACAATCATTCTAACAGACGTCACAACGACATCGAATACGATGGTAAAAGGTATGTTTAGACCTAAAAAGAAAAATAAATATCGATATTTTATATTATATTTAACAGAGATCAACATTTCCTCTATATATCGATTTATTTCGCAGGAACGTCGCACGTTCACGATACGGTATACGAGTGATCGAACTGAGAGAAACATCCGGTGGTATGGTCGTTGGTTCTCGTCAATTTCCTGGAAACCGACCACCTATAGAAGCATTAGTACCACTACCCCCTCCTCACTGCCTGGCGGCTTTAACTCTAATCGCTGAGGATTCCACGGGAAACATACTCAAACATGAACTTCCAACTGCCTTCTGAAGGTTATTGCAATTTTCACGACCGATCTAATCACCTTTCCTTGCCTTACGAGCCAAAGAAGATTTAAAAATGAAGATTTGTTTGAAACTACTCAGGATTCATTTTAAAGCCGCTAAACTATCACCGATTGATCGGTCCCGGACAATGCGGTACCGCGACAAAAAAATGCTTCCTAGTAAAAAGCACATTTTTCTCGCGGCAATTAGACACCCTATTATTATCCTAATAATAATAATCTAATGCGTATACACCTTAAACACCTGTACTCTCGCTCTCTTTTTCTTATTCTCTCGGGTAACTTAAGTTCTTTTTTATAGCACAAGAATCTTTGATTCGTGTTAAAGGTAAAATATCGTAACTGCCATCTCTCCTAATCACTTTCATCGCTTTCCAAATGAATATTATTCTTCTCTCATTGAGATAGATTTAAACACGATACCTGGAAATACAGGGTGTCATGTAATTGATCGTATAAGCGATCAAAGAATTACAAGACATCCTGTATATCATTCGTATATTCAAATAAATATAAAAAAGAAAACAGTTACCCTTAATGGGAGGAGGAAAAAATGCTCAAAATAATAAATCCATTTTTAAAATTAATCAAAAAAAAAAAAAAAATAAAAAGAAACGTGTGCTTCTATAGGTCAGTATATAAGCAAAAAAAGATAAAAAGTACCACCGTGTAATAAATTGATAACGAATAATTGTAATCGTTAACATAAAATAGATAACAGGGATTTTCTACGACCTAAGTAAAATTCCATTTCTAGTCGACGAACAAAAATAAATAATACAATAGATCTCGTTCTAGTACGATAATGTATCTTATATTCGCGTGTTCTTTTCTTTTTTTTATCAATTAACAAGAAATATGCGATACCTAAAAGGATTTGTTTCATGCACATTTCATCTATCTGGAGTGTATTAAGAAAATGAAAAAATAATTATCGTGATCTTTTATTAGAACATTGGAATATGTTACACTAATAAATTTGTGCACAAAAATTAATTAAAAAAAAGAAAAGAACAAAAAATTGAAAAAGACAGTATACACGCGCGCGTAAGTTCGCGGGTGCGAATTTAAACGTGTAAATAATAATAATAATAATAATAATAATATTAATATAATAGTAATGAAAAGACGAATAATTAAGGGATTAAGTAATTTAAGTATTTAAAGTAATGAAATATAATATTTGCGTTTTAAATGTAGTCTCAGCGTAATAATATCTTTTAAAACGTTATATCGAAACGCAATAGCGTGTATATTGTATTACGTATGTATATGTACAGTATTATTCCTGAAATTATTTTAATAATCATAGAAACTAGCGCCGGATATGAAAAGAATATTTATCAATAAGGACAATATTGTAAAACGCCGATTTTTCAGCAAAGATTTACCAATGAGAAGCATCCATTTAATTAAAAGAGATGAAAACTAATTTACGGAAGTATATATGATGATAATAATAATTTAGACGAGAAACCCCATTTTTAACGACAAAGCATTAAGCTAGTCAGTAAGGATAACGAAAAGAAAAAATAGAAAACGAAAGAAATGAAAAAAAATTTTATTATTTAAAACGCTTGAAATAAAAAAAAAAAAGTAATATATTATATAAGAAAAATTATATTTAATTACATTTAGGATATTAAGCCTGTGCTTTGGGGAATGCGTATTAAAAAAAAAAAAGAAAAAAAATACAATATTATGTTCCTATATTATTAATTCTGATATTTATTCCCCCCTCTTTCCTCTCCGTCCAATTTATTTTCATCTCTCTTATAATGTTAATTATTTATTATTAAATTAGATTATATATACACGTATTTTTCTTTTTTTTAAACGATTTAAAAATAATTTCACAAGTCATTAAACAAAAACAAATGACTCGGAGATTTGTATTCATAAGCTATCCGACATTTTCTTTAAAAAAATTCAAGCTATAGTAATCGAATAAATGAATCTCTGATTGAAAAGAATTAAATTTAAAAAACTTAATTATGTTTTATTGGACAACTTTTTTATTACTTATGCTCAATTCATTTGGTTTGTCCAATTCTCCCGCCTTGTGATAAAATTCGTGTTAAGATTTATTATAAGACACAGCTGTCCAATCAGTTGTACGAGCTTATCGGTTGTCTAAAATATTTTTTTAAATCGTTATCATCTAATACTATATATGTATTATATCTGTATTATATCTGTATATATATATATAGATATATAAAATAATACATGCAAATCTTGGCAACGTGTGCGTTGTTGATTATTAAAATAACGTTTGGTTTAACATTAATTTTGATTTAATCATGGCACTAACATCAGACGAAAGAATTACGAATATATTGAGCATAAATAAAATACATTTTCCAGATATTATAGATGATAAAATATCAACAGAAAAATTTTTAGACGCTTCTCGTGGTGTTGTAGAAATAGTAGGTAAATATTTATACATTTAAAAGTAATTGAAAAATTCGTATCAAATGATATTGATCGTTGTTAGTTCAATGACAATTTAGAAAAATTGTACATTTTATTATTTTAGAAAAATTTGGCAAATTATTTGCACCGGTTAAACATGACATAGAAGGCAACGTAAAGGTTATAATTAAAGATACATATATTTATTACTGTGTAAATTGATTATTTGAACGAATAGGTGTCCCATAAATTAATGAAAATATTTGATATTTTAGAAATTAAACAATAAATACTCCATCGACAAAGAAAGGCACAACACTTTGCAAGATATGATTTTACTGGAGAAAGAACAAGGTGAAACTATCATTGCTACTGACGCTTTGATGTGGTTAAGAAGGTATAAGTAATTACTAGTTACTTTAGTACAATAGATTATAATTTGATAACTTCTTTTATACGCATAATAAATATATAATAAATGTTTGCAGATGCTTATACATGATTTTATTATTTTTTGAGAAAATTGTTGAGGACCACAATGCTGGTAGAGCGACGGATGATATGGTAGCATTTTTAAAAGAAGCATACAAATTATCTTTAGAACCGTATCACGGTTGGATGTTACAACAGCTTTTTGGCGTAAATATTAATTAATACAATTAATCGTTTAGTAATATCAAAAGTAATATAGATTAAAGAAAGTAGCAGCAGTGATTTCAATACAATCATTTTTATAATTATCTTATTAGTTACTTTCTCGTACTGTGCCTGCTCGTGACCAACTCTTAAAAATCATTGCGAATGAAGAAAATGTGAAAGATGATATCATTATAAAAGACATGGAGGTATATTTGAAAAGTCTAAGATTGAATGTTGAAAATTTACAAGCGTTTTATGAAACACATGAACTCGAGGAGAACGTCAAGGTATAATAATTATTTATGTATGATCGATACATATAAAATGCATAAATCTTGAATACTTATTTATATTCAGATTAAAATTATTCTGTATATAGGGTCAATTTATTTTCTTTCTAATTTATAACTAACATATTAATATATAAATATAAATAGAAATATATATGATATATACCGATATTAACATCAGTAATATAAAATGATCTTGTGAATAATTACTTTTAAATTGTATCAAGAGTAATAAAAATAATATAATAAATAGATATAATAAATAGATATATAAATTTAATTAAATATCATTTAATTATTTTTAATTAAACCTATCTTCTATATCATATAGCTGAGCTATATAAAATCTTTTAGCATGATGATAAGCTGAATTTTTTAATGCTACCGTCCCAAAAATGATTTCTATACTAAGAAAAAATATCATTACGCTGTTAACTATTTGTTCAATAAAGTTAAGCATAGTTCTACTATCGAGAAGAAGAAACAATTCTAATGGAAATTGTATTAATGTGGATATAAGCCAAAAGCTTGCTAATTCTGGAATCTAATTTGAAAACATTATTACTTATCATGTTCTTTATTTTCATCATCTATATCAGGGCTTCTCAAAAGTGTGGACCACGACTTCATATGGGGTCGCATAATTATATTTAAGAATTGCAGAAATTGAAATAAAATTATAGATTTGCTGAATGCACAATTACCAAAAATTAATTAATTTATAACCAGCTTAACAACACTACACATATAGTATGTCTACGGGTTTATGGTAGTGGAAGATAATATAGTACAGAATCTATATCCAAAATCATCAAGTGGAAAAGTTTGAGAAGCCCTGATCTATAGAAAATTCTATTACCTTTTCATCTAAATTGCCAAGGTATCCTAGGTATAATCTTGTACATTCTAGTACGGAAATAAGTAAGAATACTGCAACTGTTATGAATTTATATACATCTGTTAACTGAAAATACTGTAAAAAAAAAATATAATCTATATAAATATTAAATATATAAATTAATATTAAAAAAATATTGTATGCAATTTACAAGCATATATACCTTATAGTCTAAACTAATAATGCCAATAAAAACCCAAATTGGTACAAAACGTACATTGAAGTATAAAGCCATCTGAAGTGGTAAACTAGATTGTATTTGATTACCTATTATAAATAAATGTTAAAATAAATTAATTAAAGTATATTTATTTAAATGAATTTTATTCGATTATGGAGATTATAGAAATAATAATAATGTTGTATACCTATGTCATAGAATTCCTTTTTACGATCATGATATGCTAAACCAGGAAATATGTGATCTGATGCACTAATTACTGATGATTTCCACATGATAAAAATTATTATATTTTCTTATTAGTTGAGTAAAAGTCTATTTGAATCTCTACTACGCAAATCAAACTGTGAATTTGGTCCATTTCAAAATCTAGACCACTCTTATCTTCCTCTTACTTTCCACCATCACACCGATTCTCCAATAAGATTATTTCTACCAAGTTCTACTGAACAATTAATTGATCATAAAATCGATACAAAAAATAGAAACCATAATAAATAATTTAATTGTTCTCCACATAGAATAAAACAAATTAAGATGAAATATTCCAATCAAGTGGTAAAAATTTGTCAAATGTAATATTAAATAAACAAAAATGTTCAAAAGACAAATACTCTAGCATCTAGGGAATTTTCATTTCTAATTCAAGAAATGTTTGGTAACACTAAAGAAAATAAAGAAAAAGCCAATTGATTTAATAAGTAAATATATGCATTCAAATGCACGTATATATGTTAGATTAAAAAAAAAAATTGTTTTTGATTTCTTAAATGGCTGCGAATGATATAAAGCAATCCCTCAGAAAATTAGATTTTCCATATTGCGCTAAAGAAGCATTAGGAAAAATTGGTAAGGAAAATGTTGTTTTGTATTTTAGGTTACTGATCGATACAATAATAAACAACGATCAATTTAAAAATGGATTTTTTTCTTTTACTTTTGGGGGTAATTTTTAGAGGTATTATGCACCAGACCAGGAAAACAAATGGATCTTCAAGGAGATCTAATGACAGAATTTATTTTTGGAGAAATAGAAAGACGAAAGAAACGTAATTTGGCTGTTGCCATACAGGAGTTGCAACTAATTGAAGTTTTAAGTGACTTTTTTCAAAGTCCAGGTGGTATTCCGGCAGTACGAAATGCTGTTTTTCTGTCATTATTTCCAGCCGAAAGTCCAAGATATAAAATTTTAGGCAATTTGGTATCACTGGCTATTGCTACACAGAATAATGCAATCCTTAATGCGACCGGTATCTGGATGCAGCAATTAGGTTCAACATCGCCTCAAAGCGTAGGACTGGCAAGGCATGTACTTAATGACTATTTTGTCCTTACACCAAGATCTATTGGCAAACTAAAGCAGCTTCCTGTACTTGCCTCCCATTTCACCGCAAACTTAATGACGGCAATAGGTGAAGTTTATGAGGATAAAGATCCACCTACGGAATTGCTCAAATTAATAGGAGAGTGGATAGAGGAAAATCCAAGTTTACTATTAACACCTTTAATGGACAACCCTGCGTTACCAAGCGGTGGAATACCTATGACACCAATAACTCCAATAGCTGGTCTTTTTAGGTAACAATTAAGACATATTTAAACTTTGACAGAAGTTTAATCTAAATTATATTCATATTATTTGCTTTTTCTCAGGTGGTGCATTTTAAGCCCTTTACGTTTAGATACTATGGTGAATAATGAACAGGAAGATAAAACAAAAAGTTATTCAAAAATTCAGCAATTACTGATGGAATCAGTACTGAGGTTAAGGAATAATGGAACTAACAAACATGCTATATCTGCACAACATTTAGTAGCTACTGTACGGATATTAACGACTACTTTACAGAATTTTACAAATATTAATTCAAAATTATGTGACATAGCAATGGAGAGATTAGCTCAAGCTGTGAGTGCAGCGATGTCTGCAAATTGTATTTATGGTAACAAACGTGAGTAGATTTTGCTAATACTTCTAATTAAATCAAATAATCAACTTGAAAAGATAATCTTTTTCATTTTTACAGAAGAATTAATTGCGTTACTACAACCACTCGGATATCAACATTTTCTGATTGATTGGACTCTTCAAACGTATACTACTAAAACTGCTTGAAAAGTATTCTTAATGTTTATTCTTTCTTATTGTCTAAAAAAAGTATTTTATTAAAATAAATAATCTGGAGGATAAATATTCGATGATTTAGTACCTAAATAAATTATAATTATTGTATTTCTATACGAATATAATTATTTTTATCATTAATCGCTATATTGATGAAAATGAATATTTACTTTTATTCATTTAGAATGGCTTAAAAGTTCGTCTTTTTTTAAGTTCCTGTAATTTTTTCTTATCTAATTCGAATTTCTTTCGTAATTCCGCCAGATCTGTAATAAAATTTTAATAAAAAAATAAAAATATTTTGTGTGTGTGTGTGTGTGTGTGTGTATATATATAAAATAAAAGAAATAAAACTTTAACGAAAAATATACGTACGTTGTTTCTTCGATTCACGAATTTGAAATGTATAAAAGTTAAGCAATTGTTTCTTGCGGTTTTTTAATTCTATATTAGTTCTTATCTTGTTTATAGTAGATTCTTTTCTACTAGTAGCAAATTTTCCCCTTTTCTTTCGACTCGTAACAGTCACCCATCCATCCTCTTCTGCTTCCTCCGCAGATTTTTGACGAGCAATACGATCTGCGATTCTCTGATCATACATAGACATATATTTACATATCTCTTTCTTTAGATCTTTTTCAGATTGTAAAGAATCATTGTATTCGGTACACCATTCTATTGAAATAAATAATATTCAATTGAAATAAAATATGTGCATACAAGCTAAAACTTAATTTTATAATATAAATATACATAAGCCAATAATTAAAAAACATACTTTCGTAACCTGTTAAATATGTTTCTTCTTCTGTGCTTAAACATATCGCATGATCACTTGGTATACGCAGTGCCTTATCTAAACTAGATTCATTCTCAAAAACTATATAAGCTGTTTTAAATCCAACCGGTGTTGTAAACACAACAGATAATACTTCACCACAAAGTTTTGTAAATGCATTCTTCAATGAATCTGTTGTAGCATACGGTGGTACATTCAATAAAAACAAAGTTCTGCCTCTTGGATATTCAGGTTCTTGCTTTTTTATCCAATGTTTTTTTAAAAACAATTGATGCCTATCCACGTTTTCATTATTAAAATGAATCCACATAGCTAAGAGAGAAAAAAATGAATTTGTAAAGAATATTTTTATTAAAAATTAAACCACTAAAAATATAAATGTTACACTGATATATTTGACACGTTTTGATAATTCTACTCACATTTGTAACCACTCAGGTTATTATTGTCTTTTTTATCTATCATTTTGTATATTTTTAAAATAAAATCTTAAAAATATAACCTACACTGTTGGAACACTGTTCACTCTACACGTGTGCGACTTCTACGAAACCCGTGGATAAAAAATGAACTTAAAGTCTCTGAAGTTTACTTCCTGTTCCGCAAGGGTTTTTAAAAAATGTTCATATGCAAACAACAAAATAAAAAATTACTGAATAAATCAATAAAATTTTAATATGAAATTATAAAAGTTAATAATGAATATCTAATAGCTTGAAAATATATTAACGAATGTACCTATCAATATATTCACTATACTTATATATACTATGCAAGATATTTAAATGCCACCCTCGAAAAAAAATTTTGACTTTTATCTAATTTCCAATAAAAATCTGGATATTCTGGTGGTTAAGATAGTTCTCTCCCGTTGCAAAATTTTCTGCTGTTAATGTTCTACGTTAGCGTTCCTACGGTTGTTATCTCTTATATCATCGTGCGCTCCGTTCACAATTTTTTCATTATTGTATATTATTGCATATTATTATATATAGGTATAGTGAATATATTTACGCCTGAATTCATTAATATAATTATTACAGATATAATAAAAAAGATGGGATGAATTGAAATGAAATAACGCGTTTTAAAGTATCTTAGAATTTTATTTTACTTTCTTTTTTTTCTAGTTTTTTAAATACTTATATTTAATCCATATCATAAAAAACCTGAGAATAACATGTGCACACATATAATTATATATACAATATGTATATACATTTATTTATATTATTTATATTATTTATATATATATGTATATACATATATATTATTTATAAACAAAAAATAGTTTTGCGCTACAATTATACTAAAAAAAGCTGTCATTGAGGAAGCAAAGGTTCACTTTCACTTCTTAAAAAGTTTTTAACTGGTGCTGATGGAGGTGCAACTATAGCCGAATTGTCTTCAGATTTATCTACTTCGTCGTTATCATCTGAATTGAGTAGAGCATCGTTTAGACATACGTTGTTTAAACTAACAGCACTATTCGAAAATATTGCTGTTGCCAAATTTGGATTTTTTATATCTGCGTTGGATTCATTTAAATTTTGAACCTGTGATTCTTCGCCTGCATCATTTTTGTTAGAATGTGTATGAGAAGATATTAAATCGCATGCTCTACCTAATATAATAAGACTGTTTAAAATACGTAAGGCTACGAGTATTAAATATGCTAGTATTAACAAAATGAAATTTGCTGGTCTTGCAGATGGTGTTAAAGTTGTACACAATACTCTACCCATAGCAACGCTAAGAGGTAATGGAATAAAACCCATTCTTCGAGCTATCAGATCCGATGGATCGGAAAATGCTGTTTTTTGTCTTGTTTGAGCCATATCGTATGCCAAACTAACTGTATAATCCCTATAGACAGTCGAACTTAACTCGTTGAAACGAGTGATGAATGCATGCTTCACCTTAAAATACAAATATAGTAGTTATATCGGTTATAATATTAATCAATAGAAAATATATGTAAATATAGATTTCATATGTGTTGTTCACAGACCAATGCGATTAACTTCACTTATAGAATTGTTTCAAACTTTATTACCAAAGCATTTATATATATAATCAATATTCAATTTTTAATATTTAAAATAAATTTTTTAAATAATTTTGTATACTTTTTGTTTGTGGAGTCAATCGATTTGACAAATGAGGGCCTCATATATCAGAATCATATTTTCTGTACAAACCCAGTCAACTAGAACTTCTGCTAATAGTAACATAACGCAATCAGGTAGCAGTACAATTAATCTATCAGCTCGCCATGCATATTCTTTCATTGTTTGTAATGTTACAGCTAACAATAGCATGGTTAAATGGAAGCGTTCTCTTACATCAGCACAAGATAATTGAAACAAATTATTCTTATCGAATTTCTTGAAAACAGAACCTTTTAATTCAACGAACTGAAAATAATATTCATTTGAAATATTATCCAAATTATTTTGATAGAAAATAAATACGTAAGTGGGTTGAATAGTTTTTAGCCTAACAATCTACCTTCATATTTACAGTTAACTTACATTATTAGACATCATTATCGTTAGAAGAGCTTTGTTACTGCTGTTTATAGCTACGTTTAAAGTAGTAGCTTGAAATAGCACCAGTATACTATGCAACACTGATATATGCGTGATAAAATATTTAGTTAAGGTCTTTCATAAAATTGTTCTTACATAAGAGAAAATATAAGGGTATTATTGTTTTAAAAAAGGATACACACATAAGCTAGAGCAAAGAGAAGATGGGGCAACGTTCCTAAGTGTTGAGAACGAGTTGACCGTGTTCGAGAACGTGGTTCTGTGGCAGTCCAAAGTAATGCATCTATTGTATCTTGACCAAATGCACTAAAAAGACGATCTCCCACTTCTAACATATTATAAAAAATATATAATTTTATTACTGATTGACTTTTAACTACGTGGTACATCATTGATGTGTCCACTTTCCACGTAGCTGCCCAACAGCCTAGCACTACAACTCCTTTCAATAGATCGCATACTTCAGCTGGCCTCAAAAGTCTTTCTTTTTTTTTCGCGCGAAGTTTTTTACTTCTGTAAATTAAAATAATGATATTAATTGTTTACTTTTAATATTGGACGATACATATATTTCATATAGAATTATTTGTAATTAACAAAAATGCATTTACCCTAAACAGTGCCAAAGAGGTCTTGTAGCAACAGCCCACAATGCCATTATAAATCTTAATGGTAAAAATGTATAGACAAATAAAAATGAATCTGCGCACTGTAAAAGAAATAATATTATGTGTACTTGTTCACATTGAAAAATTATTTGAAGAACATCGAGCTGTACCTGAAGAAAACCATAAACCATAAATTTTTCAACTTCTCTAGGAATTTTCATAAACGAATAGATCTTCTCTCTTCTTGCTGAAAATCTTTCCTCATCGTATTCCAATTGATATCCTCTTGTTAGTTCCGTCTGTACAAACTGCATCAAAGACACACCTAAAACGTAAATATATTGAAAGTTATAAGCGTTTGGATGTAATTTATTATACTTTGATAGAAAATGATTCTTAATATTTTAAATTAATACAAATTCCTTGTGGTATTTGATGCAGTTAAATTTAAAGTACCTTTCTTTCCTGTAACATCTTGACTATTTAATTGCTGTGAATCTTTCTGATTTGTATTCAAATTTTCAATGCGGTTGCTTGAACATTTGGATGCATTTTTAAGATCTTGAAATCTAATATATTTTCTTTCAGCATGACCTTCCAATTTGAGTGCATTCTCTTGTTCGCTGTCCATATTCTTTGTTTTATATTTATTCAGGACAGTTTTGATGCAGTTGTCAAATATTTCATAACCTCAAAATAGACAGCTGTTCAGCCATGGACACCATATATTACAAATCCTTTATAACAGATGATGTATTTATATACAAATATTACGCATTATTCTTCATCCATTTTAATTATGTTGAAGGAAAAAAAAGCATTAAAAATTATCGAATTTAATCGAATTCTAATCGAATTTTTATTCGATAATATACACTGTCATTTAATTGCAGGCTATTATGTCTGGTGAATTGTCGATAATATAGAGCATGTCATGTAAATGGTAAAGACCCTAACTTTTAGTAAATTTTCTTATTGCAACTCATACACGTATATATAGATAGCTATAATACATTGTTCGTCTTGCTCTAATAAACATAATCAGCATGTTTGTCTTATTCATTGAAAAGAGATAATAGATAGTAGAGTATTACGATATAGATAATCGTGTCTTTCAGTTGGACAACTTGCTATTTCTGCGTGGAAAAACGTATGTAACTGAGGACGTGTACTGATTGCGTACATTAAATAGTTGTACATATGTAAAATGTCGTTGGAGAGCATTCGATGACATAAGGAAAGATATATTAATCACGGCAATGTTAAAAAGATTAGTTAGGGCGATTAATGTAAAATGGCGAAAATCGTAAGGACATCCGATTCGGTGTCTACGATTTTAGTATGTGAATATTGCACTAACCTCACGTTTAAGCACATCCAAGATTTCATTAGGTGGGTCAACTTGTCCAATATCCTTTTAATCTTATGCATTGTTATAATATATAGTCATTTGATTATTTTATATTTAATAAAATACCGTACATTCAGATTTTGTTTATTATATTTTTGATATTTTTATTTGCCTTAAATTTTGTTAGTTAGCATAATTGTTAATTCTTTTGTATGTATTTCCATTTTTTTGGTATTAATATATGAATTTTAGACATTTGAGAGATCAGCATTGTTCAAGAGAAGGTGGATCATTTGTATGCTTGTATGGATATAATGGAGTATGTACTAGTCTTCCAGTGGAAGGTGTTTCGGATAAAGATTATGTAGCCCATGCGACAAAGCATGCAACAATGCAGCAACAACGTAAAAGCAATGGTCAGATTCTAGAACCTGGCTCTACTTGGACTGTTTACTCAGCAATACAAAATCTATCAGCTGTGTTAAATGATCCGTTTAAAGGGAAACAAAATAATTTCTTTACTCGTACATGGGGTGACAGTTTTGTAGAAAAAGTGGATATTCCTAAGAGCCCTTATCTTCCGGAAGTTACTATGCATCATTTTGAAATATATCTGAAAAAATTTGCACGTGTAAGCAAGACAATGTTCTTTTTAAACTTTAATTTGTTTTATTCGATAGAACTATATTCTAGATTTAATTGTTTGACTTTATTTGTAGAGATGTCGTAAACACTCACGGATGAATTGTAGTGCAATTATTAGACCGACTATTCCAAATGAATTATTACAGAATTTTCCAAATTTGAGAAGAGTTAAATCACAAGGTAAATTATTTCAATACTTTTAATACACACATTCGCTGTGTATCACGTATTACATATCTGTGACTCTAATCATTGTGAAAAATAAGTTCTGGGCTATGGTTTGTGGTAGTAAACATGTTAATTTACATTATAGTATATATTTGTCATTTTTATATAAATTCATTTTAAATTATAAATATATTTTCAGATCAAAGTCAATTTGGTTTATCTAATATTCCAAAGATATTTTTAACACCAAATTTAGATCTTTCGCAGAAAGAAAATTTTGAAGCAGTATTTCCATTCACAAAAGAGGGCCTATTAGATAAGGAATACAATGTAGTATCGCATGTTGAACAGATGCAGGAGAAGGTAAATTTGATAAATTAAAATTACACGCATGTATACATAGTAATTAATTAATAATTATATCATTTTATTTCAGCTAAGTCACTATTTAGATACGGTAGAAGTTAGAATAGCAGAACAGGTAGCTTCTAAATCTCAAGCATTCTTTAATGCAATGACTTCTCACGATGCTTTAATGGAACAGCTTTCTCAAACTATCACCGTATTAAAAGCATTAAGAGAAAATATTCACCAGGTTGACAAATATCTAGTCAAAAATTCTTTAAAAGTTTTACAGTAAGTATTTTCTTGCATTTAATCTCACAGTATTGGGATATTTAATTTAGTATTTCTTTTTTTGATTAGATTAGAAAGAGCTCGAACGAATCGATTTTTAGTATACGAAAAATTGAAACTAATGGCAACTGTGCATCAAAGTCAACCAATGATACAATTATTACTTTCTACACCTGACTACGTTGCAGCATTGGATCTTATATCTACGACACAAGAGATTTTGTTACAAGAATTAAATGGAGTGCATAGCTTTCGGTAAATCCTTACAATATAATCTTTTTATGCTTATTTAATTTATATTAATTTTAAGTATTTTAATGAAATTTATTTGTAGGCACTTAAGTTCTCAATTAACAGAAATGGAAAAGCTTGTCAATAAAATGCTAACAACAGAATTTCAGAAATATGCTACTGCTGATTTAAACAGACCATTAGACGAAGAAGATATTGTATTGGATGCAGTAAGTAAATATTACTTTTGCAAAAAGTATTTTAGCTTTAGTGAGTAGCAAACAATCTATCGTCCATCTTCCCAGTGAGATCATTTGTACATCCTCAACGAACAGGATAAACTTGTTTCCATCATTTCTGGACTACTGCGTCAAAAGCATTTGCACTTTGTGGAGACTTACGTATATGAGGCTGCTACTACCATCCGAGCTATAATCAAACAAAGAATTATAGAAGCTCTTGCAGCAAGCGATTGTTGCAGTGATCAACAAGCAGCAGCTCTCGAAGTCGGTGGTCTTTCCCATGCAGAAAGGTTAACATTTCTTCACAATACGATACATTCTCTAACCAAATTGCTAGTACGTGTCAAGGTAAGATATTATATAAATTGTAAGAATATTATTTTTATTAATAATAATGATAATAATATATTATATGTAATTTATAAATCAAGATATTTATAATATAGGCTGTTCATGATGTAATGCGCGACACTGTAGATTTATCTGCTGGATATATGGTCGATGGTACATATGATGAATCTATGCCTGATCGCTTATTAACAAAAAGTGAACATATTCATGTAACTACAGCACTTACTAGTATGCTTATAAATCTTTGCTATTCCTGCCAAGAGAGTCTGGGAAATATGCTTTCTGCAGAAAGCTTTTTCTTCAAAAAGCATTTTCCAAATGAAAAAGATAAATCGCATATTGATGAAGATAATACATCTGAAAGTTTGTTAAATTATACTCTAAACGAAAAAACATTTTGGCTAAGTGACAAAGCAACGACCACTCAAGTTTGTCAATTGGCAAATATAGTTGAAGAATTTACAGAAGTATGCGAAAAACTTTGTGGTGAACAATGTAGTAAATTGCGATCTGCATTCAAGGTAGAGAATTTTTAAATGGATTATTATTTTTCTATTGTTAAAATATATATATTTAATTAGGAACATTTTTTTAAGGCACAAGCAATCAAGTTTGTACAAAAATTTCATACAGAACGTAAAACAAGACTTACTCTCTTATTAGAATCTGAAAGGTGGAAACAGGCTGATGTTCCACCTGAATTTCAATCATTGGTAACTTACATTTATCAAGAAAATAAATTTCCTCCTGGCCCATTTAAACGAGATGATGACGTAAAAAATGATAGTACTGAATCATTCATTATAGTAGGAGAAGAAAGATTTGCAGTCGTTGCTACTGTTTTAATGCTCATGCAAATGATACATGAATATTGCAGGTATGTTTGTAATTTATTAAATAAAGATTTTAATAAATAGATAATTATTTATAACATACTACACTTATATATATATATTTACAGAACTAGCAGTGAGTTAGTAAACTTGTCAGGAACTATTGGACGGCAATTAGCAGAATTATTACGACTATATAATTCTCGGTGTTGCCAATTGGTTTTGGGTGCTGGGGCGATGGAAGTTGCAGGTTTAAAAACTATAACGAGTACAATTCTTGTATTAGCAGCACGTAGTCTAAAACTTATTTTATGGTTTATGCCAAATATTAAAAAACATTTTCAAGGTGCGACGATAAACGAATCAACAGTATTGTTATCTCGTGTAAAAATTTATATTCTAGTTAAATTTTATTTATTTAGTCATCCTAATTAAATAGGATTTAATCCTTTTCCATTTAGATCTCGCTGAACGACATCCTAATCGTGGAGTTGTAGGTATACCAAGTGTAAGTGGTGGAGTGGCGTTATTAGATAGCGTAGAAAGGGATATACAGGCTCATATAAGGGCGATTGAAGGAAAAATTTTAATTATTGTTGACAATTTACTAGGTGGTCAAATATCAAAATGGAATGCAAGACCACCTGTGCCATCTAAATCATTTAGAAATATTTCTAGGTAAATTTAATAATAAAAAATTAAAAAAAAACAAATAAAATTAAAATACAAAAAGAGAAAGCAAAGCAACAGGGTATACATTGCTGATGCAATTTGTTTATTATTAAATATATATCCATTTTTCATTTACAGTTATCTCATCAAGCTTCATGAAGCTGTCTCCGGGATTTTACCGCCGGCAGAAGTCGAATCACTTTATCGTACAGTAAATACATCGTTCAAAGAAAAACTTAGGGAGCAATTAGTAAAGATGAATATAGTGAATAATGGTGGTCCGCAACATGGGGTGGTTACTTTAGAATTAACGTTTTATCTTGAAGCATTAAGAAAATTGAAAGTTTTACCTAATGAAGAATTAAATGATAATTGGATGAATGATATTTGGACTAGATAACATGCAGAGCGTGTAATATATTGCATCATAGAAGCATTGAAACACTATAGAAAAAGGTGACTAATCTGTATGGTTGTCTTCTTCCGTAAAAATGACAAAACGATATTATTATATTGAATCTGATAAAACAACAATTATATGGAGGTGGTAATGAAATATTGCTTGCACTGAACTTTTTTCACTTTTGCACTTAACTATCGTCCTATATTGAAAAAGGAAAAAAAAGAAAACGGGAGAACAAGAATTATGTTCGGTGTATTTTTCAAGGGTTGTCTAGAAGATATATTATTATTATTATTATTATTCCTCATTAATTTATGCTCATTAAAAAATAATAAGCGACAAGAATTTAATGAATGAAAACGATGAACTATCTTCAACAGACATGACTAAATAAAATAAAATAAAATAAAATAAAATAAAATAAAATAAAATAAAATAAAATAAAATACAAGTAATCATAGTTTTTAAAAATGATGATGATGATGATAATGATGATGATGATAACGACGTTCACGACATTCGCTGTTTATATTCTCGTATTAAAAGGAGTAGTGTTAAATGGTAGATTTAATTATACACATATTTTATGCTCGTTAAGCATTTCTACCTACCATAGTGTTCAAAGCATTGTGTCATATAGGACAAATATTAAATAAAAGATTAAAAAATATATTGTGTAGATCGGAAGACATAAAAATAGTAACAAGTATATCATTAAAATAATATCCGTCTATTAGCATCCATTTTTTCCATCGAATAATGAATTATTGCTCTAAGTTTAGGACTGAATATACAATTTTTTTAATCGAGTAATAAAATATTTATGATAATTATTAAAGAAGAAAAAAAAAAAATAAAAAAGAATACTGTCCTTAGATAGTAATTTAACTTCAAGGTACAATCAACGCGTTGATATTATCAGTCTGATTATTTATCTAAATCTTCGTGTGTTTAATATAAAAATGAAAATGCAAATGCATGGTGTCTTGCCTGTTATTGTTCTTATTTTATTTTTTTTTTGCTTAGAGTTTGTGTGCAATATTTGGAAAGTGAAATGAAAGAAAAGAACATGTTAACCATGATTAAACATTTCAATTAAAAAAAGCAGCATTTATTTAAATTTCATTAAAATTAATATTTCTTACGTTATGTTCATTTCTATGTGACATAATGTTACAATTTATTTGATTGTAATCAAAATATTAGACAAATTAATCGATGAATGATTGAATTAATTATGCTATAGATGGACCAAGAGTTAGGCACTAAAATTGTAAAATATGCATATACTGTCGGTGTACTTGATGGACAAGATGTATATTGTTTTCAAACAAATATTTCTTAAAAAAGAAAAGTATTTATGAAAGAAACTATTAAACGAATTTAGAAATGTTGTGTCATGATGCTTCTGAGAGATGTTCATTTATCATATTAATCCGTATTAATTATAAATATATTATCCAATTGATTTTTCTACGGTACTTATTGCTTACCATTTAAAGTATTATATGTTTTATTCGATTCGAAAAAGAAAAAATAATATTTAATAAATCTTATATAAATCTCTCACATAAATCTCTGAAACGTAATATTCGTGTGAAATTGTTATCAATTAAATTGCATTGTACAAAATGTCAAAGAAAATTTTAATTTTAATCAGGGATATTTTATTCTCCAAATTATTCGCACATTTTCTATGCTTCATTTATGGATCAATATTGCGAATTGAAAAATATAAAACGTATACGAAAATTAATCTTTATAGAGAGGTTTTCCAATTTCATTCGTATTAAATTTTCATTGCGATGACTCTCGTGACACGAAAATCATTTCAAATATTTACCACAGTAATTAATATTTGAGAAAATGGATCCTTTCATTTAAAACATATATCAGCGAAAATCAATCGTTCTTATCATAAATGCTACATTGAAAATAGGTGCTGATCGCTACTTGCGATTCATACATTCCATTATTTCCTTCGTATAATATAATATGTTGTATATAAAAAAAATTTAATAATGGGTCAAAGAGAAATAAGTGAGAAAAACAGTTGATTGTATTTTTTATTTTACACGAAATGAATATGTACAAAATTTATCTTTTAGCTGCTGATGAAATTTTTCTTAAATCAATTAATGATTATAATGAATGAGATGAAAAATAAGAAAAACAAGAAATAGAATGTAATCAAAGGTGGTTGCTATTTAAAAAAAGTATCCTTTATGGATTTCTTCACCAAGACTGATGAACTACATTATTAGACCATAGCACTTACGAATCAGTTGTTTGTTTAGAAAAAGGAGTCGAATATTTACATATAATAAAATGTACCTTATAACATCTTATATATAATGTATTGCGAAGGCTATATATAAAAAGAAAGGAAAAAAAAAATGAATAGAGTATAAAACCTATTGTAATTAAATCTTATTTATTTTAATAAGGCTAACCAATTCTTTAGGATAATTCAAAGTGCTAATTTTACTTTTCACATTTAATATTAATATTAATTTTAATCAAATAAAAAATTCATTTGATCAGATTCAATTACAATTAGAAAATAATTGTGTTAATCTTTATAATATACATTTTTTTCGGTTAAAATATACGTGTGCATATCTATGTGTGTATATATATATATATAAATGAAAACTATATGCGACATATAACTAGAGCTAGCTTTCCACTCTGTCGTCATGGATACAATTAAGAAAACAGAAGTTTAACCAAGCCTACTAGAGAAACGAGCACACCTGAGTATTTATCATTTTCAAGGTGTTTTATTTTCCTTAGACATTTAAACGAGTTTTATTAATGGAAGAGAATGATAGGGAATCAGCGTTACGCGTATCAATGGAGGAAGAAGAAAATCGTAAAACAGATCCTAAAGAGACACGCGAGAGATCAATTATCATCGTTGGTAGTAAAAATGTTGTAGGTATAGGAATGAAAATTTCAACGAATGTACGACGTAATATGGAAAAATATATTATTATAATAAATATATGATTTTGTTAAGGGGAAAACAACGATGATTAATCGATTTCTCGAAAAAGATGAAAAACCGAAGCCAACTATCGCCATGGAATATTCGTTCGGACGAAAAGCTGGCAAAAGTTTAGTAAGTAATATCATTTATATCGTGAAATTATGTTTTGTTAGGAATGTGAAAGATAAAGAATAAAAAAAAAACATGATTCAGGTAAAAAACATAGTCCACGTATGGGAAATCGGTTACGTAGCTTCTTCTTTAATATCCACTGCTATGAGTGGATCAGGCTTAACCCATTCACCCCATCACACGACGCTCTTGATGATGCTGGATTTATCGAAACCGGAAATATTATGGATCACGTTCGAAGAAATTTTATCTGCGGTACGAAGCGCTTTGAAAATTTCTTACAATTCTAAATTCATTAACGATATGATCGAGATTAAAACAAATGAGAGAAAAAACGTTGAAAAAATGATCGATCTTTTACCCCTGAAAACGTTTATCATTGGTGGAAAATACGACGAATTTCAGGTATTTTTATTCTTACCTTATAGTTCTCGTATTGTTGTCATTTATATTTCGTTGATTAATTTTTGACGTATGAAAGGATTTCGATTCGGATAAAAAAGAAATAATGGGAAGAACTTTAAGAGCAATTGCACACAGTTTAGGTGCAGGACTTTATTATTATTCCTCTAAAGATAAAATACTTTTACGAAAAACGAAAGATCTTTTATCCCATATAGGATTTGGTGCTGTTCTATCGTGAGTTGTTCATTTTATTTTAATTTTATTTCATTGATTTATCATTGTAAATATTAGTTTTTGTGATTCTTTGTAAAACGCAGAGAAGGAAAATTTACGAGTTACGACAAACCATTGATCATATCACCCGGAGCAGATTCGTTTTCGTCGATCGATTTGCAATTACCTTATTCGAAACCATCCATGATTTTCGACACCATTAAACAGACTTTCGTAGTTCGTGTACCGCAAATAACGAGAAACGAAGAATCCACTTTAGAAGACCCAAGTAACGATCCTAACTTTAACGAGCCCATTATCGACAAACTCAAAGTTCAAAGGGAAGAGGTAGTACACTTTTTACGATATATCGCTTAGGATAATTATTTTCAAATAAAGTGTCAACTGTAAAATCATGTAACGTAAGAAATACTTTCGTAACAAGTATACTTACGATTTCTTGAAAAAAAAAAAAAAGACAAAAAACTTTTCAATAATCTTCGAAGTATCTACAAATTATCTACAAGTATGCAATCCTTAATAATAATGTTAATATAATCAAGATTTTTTTTTTTCTTATCCAAATTTTATTAATATTATTACTAAGTTTACTCTTAGGGAAGTTGTTTTTTGGACGGGTTTAATTAAGATGAACACTATATTTATCCGTTGAACGTTTCGTCTCTATTTGAGTCCAGTAGTGTTCGAAAAGTTATAGTAGAATAACGTTTTTTTAAAAATTGACTCTATTTATAAGATAGTGAAAACTTATGACTGTAATAAAAATGATGTTATATTGACTTATGAACATAACTATCAAGTTGCTGAGGAAGTCTCAAATAGAGACGAAACGTTCAACGGATAAATATAGTGTTCATCTTAATTAAACCCGTCCAAAAAACAACTTCCCTAAGAGTAAACTTAGTAATAATCTTAATAATAATAATAATAATAATAATAATTTCCAATATATTCCATCTAAGGAAATCAACGTACTTCTCGACGATATGTTGAACGATCGAACACAAAAGATTCCAATTCCTGATCCTGTTTAAATAGGTGAGCACTATAATGCGAATCTGTTATTAATATTCTATCAATAATAATCATATATTTGTATTTTATTTTTTGTTTACAGTTATATATTAACTTATCAAGAAGATGATAAAATTTCGACGATATTTTTTTTACATTTATATCCAATCGAAAACTGATTATCATAGAAGAGACGTGTGTGTACGTGTTCACATATGTTAATCGTTAGAAAATCCAAAAAGTTCTCAAGTGTTGAAGCTATATTACGTAACATTGACAATCGCGTAGGTCGCATATCGTAGTAAATGGTAGCACAATCGATCCAATGCGATACTTTTAGTTTTTCGTACACGTGTATATATATATATATTATCAAATATATTCTCTCATCGAACAACGGTGATAAGTTAGGATTTTTTTTTTTAACTTTGTTGGATCGTACGCACACACACACATACACGCATATATATATGCGCGCAAATAGATATAGATAGACATACATAGCCATGTATACGTAAAAATAGTTACGTATGTGTAAAGATAGGTGGGGATGGTGGTTGATGAGAAAGTGCAATGTCTCAGGGCAGTTTAGAAGTTAATGGGTCAACTAAAAGATCGTGAACCAGAGTCATGAGCTATAGAAATGGTTCGTGGCACTCGACGATCTTTGCAAGGTCTCGTTTGATATATCAAAGAGAGAGAAATAATAGTAAAGAAAGAGAGAGAGAGAATGTGTGTGTGTGTGTGTGATGAGAGAGAGAGGGGGTGTGTAGTAAAGAAAGATAAAAATATTGCATGGCACTGTTTTGTACATGACAATTTAGATCTGGCACGAGTATACAAAAGTATCTTGTGCTGATAATTAATTTTTAGTCTACGATAGTTACAAATTTAATAATAAAAATAATCCAACGTTTTTTTGTTTTAATTGAAAAGACTTCAAAAAAAGAAAACGATTCCGCGTCTTGTGCTTTCTTTAATATTTCAAATTTATTGTCATAATGTGTTGGTGTTTCAAAACCCATATTCATGCATTAATTAATCATTAGAAAATAATCTAAAAATATATAATCTCATTTTAAATCATTTCAAATATATATATAATAAAATATTCTAATATACTTCTCCCATACACTGGTCGCGACGTTTTAAAACTATCGTGTTCCTATTACCCAAAAATCCAAATTTCCAATTTAATAATTACGATTGACAGATGATCTAACACAGAAAAAAGGAAAAACAACATGATAATTTCGTATTACAAAATTGTAATATTATTAATTACAAAAAAAAAAACCAAACAACACACACAATAGTTTGTTGTATACTCTCGCAAAAATGTTTTAATTATAGACGAATGGATAAAATAAAAAATGAGTATGCGAAAGAGGGTGGGAGGGAGAAGGATTTGCGCAAGCGTATTGGCAGAGGAGTACATGTTTAGTTTCTACCGCACGCGTGCGGTTTGGTTTGTGCCAGAAAAAGAGAAAGATAGAAAAAGAAAGAGACAGAGTAAGAGAAAGAAAGAGAGTTAGACGACGTCGGCGTCGTCATCGTCATCATCGTCATTGTCATCAGCGTCGTCGTCGTCGTCGTCGGCACGGCTGATAAGAAAACAAACCAACCAGCCAGCCAGCCAGCTAGCCAGCTAGCTAGCTAGCCAGTCAGTACAGAGAAAAATAACGCGGCCTGGTTGGTGACGCGTGCGCGGCATAGTGCGCAGTGTGCGCTTGCGCTTATGGGAAACCTTGGATCAGCGCACTCGGGCCGTGGTGTCCGAGACCGATAGCAACCGCGAGAGATCGCGAGAGTTGTCTCTCTTCGTGAGTTGATTCAGGAATCCTTACGAGAACGAACCGGTAGTATATTACTTATTTTCTTTCTTTCTCTTTTTCTCTCTCTGTCTCTCTCTCTCTCTCTCTCTCTCTCTTTTTGTTTGACGAGAGAGAACAACACCGTGAAAGAGGAGTTGTAGGAAGAGGTGGTGAGGAAGAGGAGAAGGAGGAAGAGAAAGAGGTGGAGGACTTTACGCGGCTTCGTCGTCCTCGTCGTCGTCGTTATCCTCGTCGTCGTCGTCGTCGTTCTCACTCTCTTTCTCTTTCTCTGTTTTTTTTTTTCTTTTTTTGTTCCCCACATTTTCTATCTTAACTCTCACGTTCTTCTTCTCATCAGTGAAAAATGCCGCCGCCGCCGCCGTCGCCGTCGCCGCCGCTACGATAAAATATCGCGCGTGTCTTGTGTTTTACACTACGTGTGTTAACGTTACAATTTTGTCTATTTTCTAATTTTCTTTTTCTATCTATATCTTTTTATTTGTTTCTTCTCCTACTTATCCGTCCACCCGCCCGCCCGCCCGCCCGCCCGCTCGCCCACTGTCCGTCCCCATTGATTCTTTTCATCTATCAATTTGTGTTTTCAATTGATAATTCATTTTTCCTTTTTATATATTTCCCTTTTTTATACAAGATTTTCTAGATTCTTGTAGTATCTTATACCGATATCTATTTTACAAGATTATTATTCCTACTATTTGCTTCTATTAAATTTTAATTGATTTTTTTAATCCACGTCCCCAATTCTCTCTCTCTTTCTTTCTCTCTTTCTCTCTCTTACCTGTTCTCGCGTTTGATTTATTTCTTCTACGAGTGCACACCGATTTATCGGATCTACCACGACAACACCACGAGGTTCTAACGCGCGAGTTAATCTTTTCACAGGTGAGTCTCAATGTTTAGACGATTTTGTTATCTCGTTGCGTTGCGTTGCGTTGCGTTGCGATACTTGCTTTTTATTAATTTTTTTCTTTTCATTTTTATTATTATTATATCATATCTTTGATGAGATCGTCATAAGGGGGGAACAATATTTTAAGAAAACGCGTATCTGATTGTTCTTTTTTTTATTTTGTTTGGGGTATGACCTCTTCTATCGTTTTGGAAAATTCGCTTAACCGGTAGCAGTAGCAGCACCACCCTCATTGTAACATCCTCACCACCCACTTGCGAGGTGTCCTCTCTCTCTCCCTCTCTCTCTCTCTCTCTCTCTCTCTCTCTCGCGGTTATCGATTCCGGTGTGAACGCGCCCTCCACTGCCGACAGGTATCGGCCCTCTTCGTGTCTTTACGAATTCCTTTGACTCCGTTACGATCTTCTTCTCCTTTCAAGGATCTTCTTTAATCCTGCTTTCTCTTACGGAAGGACATAAATTCGTGTTTGCTTGATCAATCGTTTGATCGATCGATCATCAATCTATTTTTCTTCCTTCCTTTTTTATTTAATTTTTTTGTCTTCACTCTGGCTTCAATTTTTACAGAGAGAGAGAGAGAGAGAGAGAGAGGGAGAGATAAGATCTCCTTAAAAAAATAATTAATCTTCATCTCGCGTTGAATGTTACAATGATAAAAGATAAGGTTGAATGATAGTAATCGATTTAGTTAAATATATCTCATCGATCTAGTTTATATTTCAAGACTTCTTTTCGTATTCAAAGGACAAAGTTAAAGTATTATATACTTTATCGAATGTATACGATAATAATTTGTGTAACGTGTTGCAACACTTACTTCTTTATTATACTCTTTTTATTTTTTATTTGTTTGTTTGTTTTGTTTTTTTATAAGTTAAGAATCGTATTTCTCGATTAAATATAATATTAGGTCACTCGTAATCTTTTTATCGCAGAGATCGACGGATATATATATATCTGCTATACACCTTTGATTAATTTTCTTTTTTTATTTATTTATTTATTTTAAAATTTGAAAAATATAATTTCGCGTCGCGACACACACACACTCGACAGATTTTGATTGGATTGATTTCATCGACAGCATAAGGTTTTCGCGAATGATATTCGATATTTGTTTGATTTCTAAATCGTAACGTGAATTAAATAGAAATATGTAATGTTACTACACACACGAAAGCGTATAAAAAATAACATAAGAGGAAGAAGTTGTGTAGTAACCGGATGTCGCGTGCTTTTTCTTTTTCTTTTTCTTCTTTGTCATGGTTTTTAGGTGCGAGGGGCCAAAGTACCTCGTCGTTTGTTTTATGGTCACGCTTCTTATTTATTTTATCTTCACGAGTTTTGATTGAAATCCTTTAGAAATATTTCCATTGTTATTTTTTTTTCACCTGGAAAGTATTTCTATTCGGTGTTACGTAAAGTGTTAATCGATTCGATGATAATATCAGAGTTCAATCGATATCAGCAATTTACAGTCAATAATTAGGAAAGAATTAAAAAAAGAAAGCATGCATTTTTTAATGATTCATCAAACAAATTTTGATATTTATAATATATAATATTAATATAATATTTTATCGAAACACCGTGTAATTCTTTCTCGTTTTACAATTTTATAATTAAGTAAAAACTAATTATTAATATCAATGGGGATAATTCTAATGACGTTAACCCAATTCTTGTGATTCCGGTTTAACGTAAAATGTTGCCTGTATCCGAAAAATCATTCAAACCTCTAATGATTTATTAAATATATTTTTCAATTAAATAATTATATAATATTAATATAATATATTTTATTATTGTGAAATACGAATAATCGTATAATATTTTGTATGATTTGATATCCGAATAGTACAACATCGATTAGTAGAACGTCAAAGAAAATGTGGGTCACGAAAGTTTAAAGTAAAAATCGAATGATTTCATATCGAGAAGGTGTACCTTCGTTATTACGCTTCCAAGTCTACTTCTTAGTATTTTCCTTCTTCTTTTTATATTTTTATAATGAACAAAATAAAGTCCCAAGTATCGTGGATTTAATGGTCGAGCAAGCGCAGCAGCAATTCTTGTATCGCGTATCGTTCCTTTCACCCACGAACGTAAACGTTCACCTCAGTTTACCACTCTGTGTGTGGGTTCTGCCATTCATATCTAAGAAAATGGCTAATAAAAGTGTTATACATTAATACATAACACTATACGTTTTCTAGAATCTATCGTGTTCACCGTACGTGTGTGCATGCATTTCTCCGAAGAATGGGATACCTGTCCTCCTTCTTCGTGTCGAGAACTATTCTGGTCGACCTTGGTATCCGAGCAAGGTGCGATCAAACATGGAACCACTTTTTATTATTCCTTCTATTCTCATGCTTATTATAT